GACGTCCCAAGGCGCTGGTAAGTAAGTGTTTTGGACCCGAGCTGGGGGTCGGGATTGGGGAGGGTGGAGGGCAGGGGGGGAAACAGGGAAATCGAAAGCACGGTCAAAGAGGAGGGTCTTGAGATGGGTCTTGAAGAAGGCAAGGAAGGGGGCGAGATGGAGGGACTATGGCATGGAGTTCCAGAGGGTAGGGGCAGAGTGACAGAAGGCCCGCCCGCCAATAGTTGGGCGAGCCAGGTGGAGGACGTGAAGCAGGCTGGAGCCCGCTGAGTGGAGGGAACGAGCAGGATGGTAGGGGGTTAGGAGGTCGCAGAGATAGGGGTAAGCAAGACTATGGAGAGCTTTGAAGGTGAGGACCAGGATTTTGAACTATATCCTCTGTGTGATGGGAAGCCAGTGGAGTCGGGCGAGGATGGGGGTGATAGGGTCACGGAGCCGGGTGCGAAGAGGACATGGGCAGCAGAGTTCTGGATGATCTGCAGCCTATGGAGAGAAGAGTTGGGGAGGCCAACAAGCAATGAATTTACATAGTCCTCAATGTAATGAAAGCGGGTATGAGCACCTCCAACAGTGCAGCATTCCCCCAGCACCGCATTGAATATCGGCCTAGACTATATGAGTTCTAAGTTCTGAGGTGGAGCATATTGAAGTTAAAGTATAAATGATCCTTATTAAACTGCACAGCAAAAATATCTACAACAAATACATTCAGCAGCTCACATGGTGATTTTGCATACATTTGATTTGCCCAAAAAAACACATTTATTTTGATCCTTTTGGCAACTGCAGAAATGCATCACCGTGCTTAAGATGCTTAAGCGTATCCAATACTCAAAAGAAACCCTTTGCTACACTCTCCAGTGAGGTCCGAAAAGGCGTCATTGTACCCAAAAAAGCATGTCAAGTGCGTAAACATTTCACGAGGTCGGCGATATCAGGAAAATCTTTTCCAAGGCAAACGCAGAAAGCAGGAGTTGAGATGGTGAGGTGAGTTTACATAAATGTTGCATAAGTACAGACGATGACATTGAACTCATTGATCTACTGAACACAGTCTTCCCCAATCTTTCCCCTGGAATTTCCAGATTCCTTGCTCAGTTGCTTGAATCATATCACCTCGCTCGGTATATCCCGTGGCCAGCCCAGCACCCCCTCCCCATCCTCCTCGTTCCTGACCCAATCTTACAACAAATCCCCTGTACGCTTCCAGACCAAGAAAATGAATGAATGAAAACCGCTGGTGTGCGGTAACGCATCTCCCCAATTGGCAATCTATAAGTGTGTTAATGTCTCTAAATAATCCCTCCAAAACCCAAAACAATAATAAATTGGTCATTTTCAATCCACGACTGTTTGTGGGACACTGCTGTGCGCAATTGGCTGCCGCGTTCGCCCACAAATATGCAGTCAATTCACTTTACAGTGTGTGTTCTGTGAAGCGCTTCGGGACGTCCTCCCGACGTGAAAAGCGCTGTATCAAATGCGAGGATTATTATTATTATTATAATAAAGTTTCTATCGGCAGCTCTAAGGTATAAAAGATCTTAAAACTATTGTGTATTATTGGGAGGGGTGGGGGGTGGGGGGGGAGGGATTGTGTGTGTGTAATAAATTGACCTTGAGATGTAATTGGAAAGTTGCTGCTTTTTCCACACAGTTCCCCACTGGGAAAAGGGTAACATGTTTGCATCGCTTATCTGAAGGTTATTTTGCGAACTGTAACTTAAAACAAGAGTTACAGTGTCTTTCTTTAACACATTGCAGTGCAGTGAAAGAATGTGAAAGGCTCTTTCTTTCTCTCCTCTCTCTCCTCTCTCTTTCTCTCTCTCTCTCTCTCTTGGCTCTGCTTCATTGGTTTGAAGTTTGTCGAATTAGACTCTGGTCCGAGTCACACCGCCCCCGTTCGTTGAGGGAGAGATAGAGGGAGGGAAGGAGGAAGGAAAGGAGGAGGAGAGAGAGAGAGAGAGAATGAGTGAGTGAGAGAGAGAGAGAGAGAGAGAGTGCGTAAAAATGATCGAGTCGCCCGTAACGCAGCGCCACACAGCGAAGGGGCAACAGCTACAGCCACAGTGAGAGGGGCCACTGCTCTCTCTCTCTCTCTCTCTCTCTCTATCTCTACCTCTCTCTCTATCTCTATCTCTATCTCTCTCTCATCCTCTCGTCCCCGTCAAAGGCATCGGTGCCCCAGCGAGGGATCGGCTGTGAGGTAGGACTGTGTGCGTGCGGGAGGGCTGTACACACACACACACACACACACACATGTATATATATATGTATATGTGTATGTGTGTATATAGGTATAGGTGGTAACGTAAATAAAGACATTGGGTTTGCCCGCAAATCACTCACTCTCTCTCACACACACAGTCACACACAGTCACTCACACACACACACACACACACACACAGTCACTCACACACACACACACACACCGTCACACACACACACACACAGTCACTCTCACACAGTCACACACACACACACAGTCACTCACACACACACAGTCACACACACACACACAGTCACTCACACACACACACACACAGTCACTCACACACACACAGTCACACACACAGTCACTCTCACACACACACACACAGGAGGCACTCACACACAGTCACTCACACACACACACAGTCACTCTCACACACACACACAGGAGGCACTCACACACAGTCACTCACACACACACACAGTCACTCTCACACACACACACAGGAGGCACTCACACACAGTCACTCATACACACACACAGTCACTCACACACACACAGTCACACACATACACACAGTCACTCACACACACACACACACAGTCACTCACACACACACACAGTCACACACATACACACAGTCACTCACACACACACACACACAGTCACTCACACACACACAGTCACACACAGGCACTCACACACACACACACACACACAGTCACTCACACACACACAGGCACTCACACACACACAGTCACTCACACACACACACAGTCACTCACACACACACACAGTCACACACATACACACAGTCACTCACACACACACACACACAGTCACTCACACACACACAGTCACACACAGGCACTCACACACACACACACACACACACACAGTCACTCACACACACACAGGCACTCACACACACACAGTCACTCACACACACACACACACAGTCACTCACACACACACAGTCACACACACACACAGTCACACACACACACAGGCACTCACACACACACACACACACACAGTCACTCACTCACACACACACACATACAGGAGGCACTCACACACAGTCACTTATACACACACACAGTCACTCTCACACACACACACAGGAGGCACTCACACACAGTCACTCACACACACACACAGTCACTCTCACACACACACACAGGAGGCACTCACACACAGTCACTCATACACACACACAGTCACTCTCACACACACAGTTTCACACACAGAGAGAGGAGGGGGAGCACAGTAATGCGCTGTGAAGGATCTTTTCGAAATTGCTGTGGTGCGAAATACGCCTTTCGATGGGGGTAAGATCGCTCCTGTTGGGTGCTGTCGTGTAGCCCATTACATGAATTACTGTATCAAATCAATTGACACACGAGCTACTGTATACTTTTCCTGAGAGGAAAGAAAGGACGTGTAGCTCTGTGAAGTGTGTTTGTTCCTCCTCCCCCATTTATCATCTTCTGTTGCATTAAAGGCCATTGATTATACATTGAATTCATTCAGGACATCAAAAGTGAAAGGGTTTTTATCCAATAATCAACTGGAACCCAGTAGTTCCCACTTGTTCGTGTTTTGTTCGGTTTATTTTTTTTTACATATTAATTTCTACAGAGTTATTAGTTCATTCATTAATTTGTAGGAGCAGAGTTTCGCAATGACTGACTTGCCTGCGCCCTCTCTCACCATGCTCGGCGGCGAACCATTCCTGTAAACTTATTCGGATTCAATAATGTGCCCGTGGACTAATATGATTGTTGCTAAAACAGGAAAAGCGTGCAGTGGCTCGTGTGTCGATTGATTGACACAGTAATTAATAATGATAATTTTGGCATTATTGTATTCATGTCAAATCGTCACAAACAGTGCTTCACGGGATTTATACTGTAAAGTCGTGTGACGATGTGTTTTGTGGACGATTCGAGCTTTATATATGTTATAATCTTGCATTTGATATATATATATATACCACTGTATCGTATGGTTGAGACGTCTCAAAGGAGTTCACAGGATATCCCGTAAAGTGGAGTGACTGCGCATTTTGTGGGTGAAACATGGAGATAGATTTGCACACGTATAACGTATATTGACTGTTACGATTGTGCCTGTACTCCTGGTTGTTTCAGGTTATAATTCGATTTACAGTATATTTCTGTGAAGCGCTTTGAGAAGACTCGGAAGCCGCGATGAGGCGCTGATATCAAAATGCAAGGATTATTATTGCTATTGTTGTTGTTATCATTATCTATCAGCTGCTCTGCGTTGTATCTGTACAGACACACACACAGACAGACACACACAGACACACACTCTTGTCTGCAGACACCATCCTGGCTCGCGTTGCTCACTCTCTTCCTTCATTGGCCAGCCGGCGTGTCAATCATAATTCCTGTGGCCAATGGGCAGCCGCCGCCTCTCAACCCACTCCCTCCCACTGCCCCACGCTGTGACGCCTTGCAGCCTGTGGGTGGCGTTACAACAAACGCCATCATTCTCTAACGTTAACAATGCTCCCGATCATTGTCTCCCCCCCCCCCCCCACCCCCGGCGACCGCCCGTGTGGCGCTTGTGACTGGTTATCAGGGCTGTCAATCACAGCTCGCGGGACCCATTGGCTGCCTGGCCCGTGCCTCGCCAGATCCTGCATCGCCATTGGCTTAGCGGCCTGTCAATCAATCAATCCATCCATCAATCAATCAATCAAAGTTGGGGGCAAACCTCGACGGTCTGAGGAGCCCCGCCCCGGAAACAATTTGATTGCGCGGGAGGGGTGTGGGGAGAGAGCGAGAGAGAGAGCGAGCGAACGCGCGCGCGCGAGGCGGTTGGTGACGTTGGCCAACTGTCATTCGGAGAGGCTTCAGGCGGCGGCGGCGGGTGAGTGAGTGGGTGGGCGGGTGGAGCGGCCGCAGGGCCCGATGTAACGGTCCCCCCCCGGTCAGCGGCAGGGCGATGGATTCGCGGGGGGTGATGGCGACCGACAAACGACGGCCCTGCGGCGTGCAAGTGGAAACGGGCGCAATGGACGGCAGGCGGACGTCCCCGGCCAAGGCGGGGAGAGCAGCTTCCAGCGCCGCGCATAGGCAATAGGTGATTCCTCCTCTCAGGAAATCCTAATTATATATATGTAAATATATATATATATATATATACACACACACACACACACACGCAATTATTTCAATGTGGGAAGGGGAGGGAGTCGAGATTACCTTTCATTTAATTGTGCAATTTGGCTGCTGCGTCCGCCTCCCCCCACACACACCCCCTCCCCCCCTCCCCACACACACACACACACACACACACACCCCCACACACACCCCCTCCCACACACACACACCCCCTCCCACACACACACACACCCTCCCACACACACACACCCCCTCCCCCCCACACACACCCCCTCCCCCCCACACACACCCCCTCCCCCCCACACACACCCCTCCCCCCACACACACCCCCTCCCCCCACACACACCCCCTCCCCCCCACACACACCCCCTCCCCCCCACACACACCCCCTCCCCCACACACACCCCTCCCCCCACACACACCCCTCCCCCCCACACACACCCCCTCCCCCCACACACACCCCCTCCCCCCCACACACACCCCCTCCCCCCCACACACACCCCCTCCCCCCCACACACACCCCCTCCCCCCCACACACACCCCCTCCCCCCACACACACCCCTCCCCCCACACACCCCCCCCCCCACACACACCCCCTCCCCCCCACACACACCCCCTCCCCCCACACACACCCCTCCCCCCCACACACCCCCCCCCCACACACACCCCCCCCCCCCACACACACCCCCACCCCCCCCCACACACACCCCCTCCCCCCCACACACACCCCCTCCCCCCACACACACCCCCCCCCCCCCCACACACACCCCCTCCCACACACACACACCCCCTCCCCCCCACACACACCCCCTCCCCCCCACACACACCCCCTCCACACCCCCCCCCCCCACACACACCCCCCCCCCCCCCACACACACCCCCTCCCCCCCACACACACCCCCTCCCCCCCACACACACCCCCTCCCCCCCACACACACCCCCTCCCCCCCACACACACCCCCTCCCCCCCACACACACCCCCTCCCCCCACACACACCCCCTCCCCCCCACACACACCCCCTCCCCCACACACACCCCCTCCCCCCACACACACCCCCTCCCCCCCACACACACCCCCTCCCCCCCACACACACCCCCTCCCCCCCACACACACCCCCTCCCCCCCACACACACACCCCCCACACACACACACACCCCCCACACACACACACACCCCCTCCCCCCACACACACCCCCTCCCCCCCACACACACCCCCTCCCCCCCACACACACCCCCTCCCCCCCACACACACCCCCTCCCCCCCACTTCCTCATCCTCTCGATGCTGACCTCCTGCGTGCTGCCTTCGGCGAACGCAGTTATAATAATAATAATAATCCTTGCATTTGATATAGCGCTTTTCACGTCGGGAGGATGTCCCAAAGCGCTTCACAGAATATACTGTAAAGTGAATTGACTGTATATTTGTGGGCGAACGCGGCAGCCAATTGCGCACAGCAATGTCCCACAAACAGTCGTGGATTGAAAATGACCAATTTATTATTGTTTTTGGTTTTGGAGGGATTATTATTAGGCTCTGTGTGGAGTAAGGAAACTTGCCCAAGGTTTCGCCCTCTGCCTGGAATTGAACTCAGGTCTCTCACTTGCAAAGCGAGTGCTCTAACCACTGAGCTACAGGACTCCGTAGTCCTGTTCGTGATATCCTCTTCTCTCGCCTCTCCTCCCTCATCCGCTCTCCTGCTTCAAGACTGACTTGAGTATCCTCTCGTCTCCTCCACCGGTTTCACCTCCAGGTCCCAAACAGTCACCTGCAAAGTATCCTAAGGCTCTATTCTTGGCGCCCCTCCTTTTCCTCATTTATGGAGTCCTGTAGCTCAGTGGTTAGAGCACTCGCCTTGCACGCGAGACACCTGAGTTCAATTCCAGACAGGGCGAAACCTTGGGCAAGTTTCCTTACTCCACACAGAGCCTAATAATAATCCCTCCAAAACCAAAAACAATAATAAATTGGTCATTTCAATCCACGACTGTTTGTGGGACAATGCTGTGCGCAATGACTGCCGCGTTTCGCCCACAAATATACAGTCTATTCTGTGAAGCGCTTTGAGACGTCGAGAAGACGTGAAAAGCGCTATATCAAATGCAAGGATTATTATATTATGTGCTGCCTCTTGGTGATGTCATCTGCAGACATCGACAGCTGCAAACATCAACTTCCATATGTGTGCGGATGATGCCCAAATCTACTCTTCCTCCTTCAGTTGTGACCCCAAGTCCACTGATGTGTGTCTGCTTGCTTATCAGTCTCAAGTCTTAGATGAGTGCTAACTTTCTATAGCTGAATATGCACAAGACGGAAGCTATTCTTTTTTGGCTCCCGTCAACACTCTTCTCATCTGCCGCTCTGACTTCTTTAACCTTCCCGGCCTATCCCTGAGACTCGCTAAACATGTGTACAATTTAGACATTGGGTTTAAACCCCAATTGTCAACCCTACCCCACATCAAGTCCCTTTCCTCCCTCTCCGTCACAGATACCTCAAACCTAACATTGCTGGCCACGCCTTATCCATGCTTTTGTCACCTCCCACCTTATTATTATTTCAATGTAGGAAGGGGAGGAATCAAGATTACCTTTAATTTAATTGTGCAATTGGCTACTGCGTTTTCCCCCACAAAATACACAGTCAATCTACTTTACAGTATATCCTGTGAAGAGTTTTTGAGAAGTCTCAACGACCTGATAAGACGCTATGTCAAATGCAAGGAATGCTATTATTATTATTAGTAGTAGTAGTAGTACCTGTAAAGTGCTAGAGCACCTCGTTTGGACGTCCTCCCACCCTGAAAGGCCCGCTACTAGATAAATGCAATTTGTTGTTACCCACCTTCGCTCCTCCCTGCTCGAGCCCCTCCAGACCCGGTTCCGCCTTTTCCCGCAGCATTAAAGTCTCACAGATTACTTATCTTAGCGACCCCCCACCCCCCAACTTCCTCATCCTCTCAATGCTGTCCTCCTGCGTGCTGCCTTTGGTGAACGTAGTTGGTCATGATATCCTCTTCTGTCGGCTCTCCTCCTTCATCCACTCCTGCATCCGTGATGCTACTCCGTGTGATGTGTGCTATATAAATGCAAGTTGCTGTTTTTGTGCACTGAATATTACCAGAGATGAGTTGATAGTTTGAGCTCTCTCAGGAAATGCACCTCCTTGTATAGGTGGGATGCATGCAACTCTGTTTGGTTGGAGCACTCTGGTGTTTTTTGGTGATGTATTTCCGCCTGTGTCAGGCACCCAGGTGACCAAAAGCATTTCTGCAGACGAGGAAAATTGAGAGGAGACCTGAGAGAGGAGCTTAAGATTATGAAATGATTTGATAATGATACGGTGTTGACAGGCAGTTTTCACTCGCTGGTGGAATATACGATAGCCAGTCATAGATCTGATAGCGAGTTTTTGGCTGGACCTCAACAAAACCTACCACTCCGCTCTTGCCTCAGCCAAACCGTCCTTCTATTCCAGATTAATCCTGGAGGTGAAGGGCAACCCCAGGCTCCTGTTCTCCATCACCAACCAGCTCCTCCACCCTCCCCGCCACGCCTCGCAGATTCTTTCCTCTGACTCCCACTGCGAGAAAATGCTGGACTTCCTCGAGTCCAAAATCGAGGAATCCGTTCAGCTGCCACTGCCCTCCCAACTTCCACCCCCTCCCTACCCCCCACCCACACTCCGACAATTACCCATCCCTTCTTCCACACCTTTGAAATTGTCACCCCCTCCTCTGTCTTCACCACCATATCCTCCATGAAGCCCATCACCTGCTCCCTGGACCCCATCCCCACCCCTCTCCTTAAATCCCAGCTCCACCTCCTTGCCCCATTACTTGCTGACATCATCAATCTTTCCCTGTCATCTGGCACTGTTCCCTCCCCCTCAAAACATCCACCATCACTCCCACATTGAAGAGACCTTCCCTTGACCCATCACAGCTATCCAGCTACTGGCCTATCTCAAACCTCCCTTTCCTGTCCAAGGTCCTTGAGAGAGCCGTTGCCTCCCAGCTTCACTCTTTCCTCTCCTCCCATTCCCTCTATGAACCCCTCCAAACGGGTTTCCGTGCTGCCCACAGCAAGGAAACTGCTCTGGTCAAGGTCACAAACGACATCCTGACCATGTGCGATCAGGGCTCCCTCTGCCTCCTCGTCCTCCTCAATCTCTCTACCACCTTTGACACTGTGGACCATTAATCCTCCTCCACATCTCCCACCTCAATCTTCAAGGTTCTGTGCTTGACTGGTTCAGGTCCTACCTTTCACACTGCCTCCACTTTGTCGCAGCAAACGGCTTCTCCTCCAGCCCCCGCCCTGTCTCGTGCGGTGTTCCTCAGGGCTCTGTCCTCGGTCCCCTCCTCTTCACCCTCTACATGCTTCCCCTTGGTGACATCATCCGCAGACATGGGGTAAATTTCCACATGTATGTGGATGATATCCAACTCTATCTCTCTGCCTCCACCCTCAACTCCAGCACTGCTGGCGTCCTGAATGACTGCCTGTCCGACATCAAGTCCTGGACGAGGGACAACTTTCTCCAACTCAAAGTCAGCAAGACCGAGGCCCTCTTGATTGGCTCGCGCCAGCGCCTCCGCAACTCCGCAGCTCCTTTACTCTTGCGCACCAGGCTCCGTGACCCCATCACTCCCACCCTCGCGCGACTCCACTGGCACCCCAACCCTCAGAGGATCGAATTCAAGATCCTCGTCCTCACTTTCAAGGCCATCTATGGCCTTGCCCCCTCCTACCTCTCTGACCTGCTGACTCCCTACTAACCTGCCCGCTCCCTCCATTCAGCGGGCTCCGGTCTGCTCCATGTCTCCGCCTGACCTGCCCTCCCATCGCTGGCTGAGCTTTCAGCGTCTCTGCCCCCACACTCTGGAACTCCATCCAACAGTCCCTTCGCCTCGCGTCCTCCTTTGCCTCCTTCAAGGCCGATCTCAAGCCCCTTTTCTTCGATCGTGCCCTTGGTCGCCCTCCCACCTCTCTGCCTTCCCTCACCCCTACACCTCCCCACTCCATGCTCGGGTCCCAACCCCTGGAATGTTCAGCGCTTTGGGACGTCCTCCCAATGCGAAAGGTGCTCTATAAATGTCATTTTGTTGAGCTTCTTCACACAGAGGGTGGTGAAAATGTGGAACTCGCTGCCAGAAGCTTGGTTGAAGCAAAAAGCACCAAAGTTTTTCTGTATCATTCTACATAATGTTCTGCGTGTAGTTCTCATGTGAAAGTAACATCTCAGGGTGCTTTACAGAATGCAATGAATTATAAATGAAGTGAGATGTCGAATTTGATGCCCAAAACGGTAGTTGAAGCAGTTCGTATAGAAACATTTAAGAAGAAGCTAGATATACACATGAGGGAGAAGGAAATACAGGGTGACCAAAAATTTCTGACACCATCACAATGTCTAAATAGGCTTAAAGAAATTATATATATATATATGTTTAGTGATTATTATTCAAATAATTGGTATCATGACTTTTTGGTCACCCTGTAGAATGGAGTAAGGAGTGGGTGAAGATTCATCGGAGTATAAACCGTCTTTTGTCTGACTAAAAGATGGCTTCACCTAGTTAAAAGGGGCAGTCATCCACAGGATAAACTGTTTAAACTGTCCATAATTATTTAATTCTCATTCAACTACGCTGCAACAATTAGAAATAGTTACTCCTAGAAGTAGAAATGTTGTTAATGGAAATGTGAAACCTTTAATGACTCATTCAAAAATTGGCACCTCAGCCATTTAACACTCTTCCAAAATTACATGTCTCGATAGTGAACTCAGTTTTATTTTGATTTTGCAGGAGGTTGATATTTGTTTTATTTTACTTGTTCCGAGACCTCACAGTGCTGCTGTCCACGTGATTCAGTGAGAGGTGCACAGAAGCATTGTTTCATTACTGAATGTTGTAAAAATGAAAATTTAGTGTGTATTGGCCTATTAGTACTTCAGGTTTAGATTAAATCAGGACATCTCCTCGCAAGCGAGTGGACCCGCATTCGATTCCTGGGCAGGGCGAAGCCTTAGTCAAGTTTGCTTATTCCACACACATTCCTCTCTTGCAGCCGCAGACCACTGAAACTCTTGTTCATGCCTTCATCACTCCAGGCTCGACTATGCAAACCCCCTGCTTGTCGACCTTCCCAACTCCTCCCTCCACAGGCTGCAGATAATCCAGAACTCTGCAGCCCGTGTCCTCTCCCGAACCAAACTCCGTGACCCCATCTCCGCCATTCTCGCCCGACTCCATTGGCTCCCTATCCTTCAGAGGATCCAGTTCAAGATCCTGGTCCTCACATACAAAGCCCTCCATGGCCTCGCCCCACCCTACCTCTGCGACCTCCTAACCCCCTACCAACCTGTCCACTCCTTCCACTCAGCCGGCTCTGACCTGCTCCACGACCCCCGACCCACCCGTCCCACCATTGGCGGGAGAGCCTTCAGCCACTCTGCTCCCAACCTCTGGAATTCCATCTCCAACCACTCCACCTCACCCACTCCTTAGCCTCCTTCAAGTCCCGCCTCAAAACCCTCCTCTTCGACCATGCCTTCGGTCAACCCCCTTCCACTCCCCTCCCTTCTCCCCCCCGCCCCCCGATCCCAGCTCAGGTCTGAAATGCTGTACTCTGTTCAGCGCCTTGGCATGTCCTCCCGACATGAAAGGCGCTATACAAATGTAATCTTGTTGCGTTGCTGCCTATGACCTCTATCACCAATTTCTGAATGTTGTTTAGCTAATCTTTATTGAATGACCTCACAGTAGCGCCTTTATTGGTTGCGATAAATCACAGATCATTGCAGGGTTATTCTCGGGCATACACCGATTATGTAGACATAAACAATTAAGCTCAGACTGACCTGAGCTGATCATAAAACTGGGAAATTACTCTTCAGTCTCCAAAAAATGAGGACAAAAATATATTAGCAATCACACCAGCTCCTTTTTTATGAAAATATTAACTTTTTAACTTTGCTATACGAATCTTATAATTGTGCAATGTGTGGGTGATATGTACATACATAATACTACACAAATGTAGTAGGTAAAAGAATGATGAATAGTAGGAAAATGGCAAGTTTTACTGACAATAAGCTTTGCTTAGCAAAATTGTACCGTTTCTTCACAGTGGAGTTGGCTGCTGTGTTTCATTTTAAAAATACACAGTCAATCCACTTTACAGTATATTCTGTGAAGCGCTTTGAGACGTCTCAACGATGTGCTAAGCCGCTATATCAAATGCAAGGATTATTATTATTGCAGGTGCCGTCCTTCAGATGAGATGTTAGATCAAGTCCCGTCTGCCTGTTCAGATGGACATTAAAAATCCCATGGCGCTATTCAAAAAGAAACGTGTCCTGGCCAACAATCCCCTAATAAAATTGGTCATTCACGTCTTGACTGTTTGTGGGACATTGCTGTGTGCAAATTGGGTGCTATGTTCGCCCACAAAATAGTCACACCACTTTACAGCACATCAAGTGAAGTGCTTTGAGATATCCTCCTCATGTGAAAGGTCCTATCCCAAACATAAGGATGAATATTATTGTACATTACTCCTGTGCCATGTTTTTGCAGAAAGCGCCACTTGACAAGTTGTTTAATACTTTTATGAGATAAACGTAACATAAAACGTGCAAAACACCTTTATGCTGATAAACAAGTTGACTAATGGAGCAGCCAATTTGCACACAACAATGTTCAGCGAATGGCCATAAAGTGAATGACCAATTGTATCTGGAAGATTGTTTGTCAGAAAAACCTAGAGAAAGTGCCTTCTCTTTTGAATAGAATTTTTAGTGGGATCTTCAAAGTCAAACTGAGCTCCCATCTACCTGTTCACCTTATCTGAAGGACAGCACCTCTAGCAATGCAGTGCTCTGCATTGGAGCGTTAGCTGAGACTATACGAGTTCAAAATCCTGAAGTGGTGTTTTATCCCACAACTACCTGTACCTAAGTATCTATGCTAAGCAGATGTTTTCTTTCCATCTTTACAGCGACTCTGTTTTCTAAAAGCTATATAGTAACTACTGTATCTGGTTTCACTAATATTGTTCCTGTGTTTCAGTTGGTGTCAAAAAAAATCAACAAAGCATATTGTGATACTTGAAATTAGAAATGAGCAGTATAAAGTATTTTTCTTCTAAATCTATCCTTTTACATTTTTCTTACAGAAAATCTAAATTGCAAACTGCTGCATTCTTTAGACTTTCAGCTTATAAATTGGGAAGGATCATTATTTTGTTTGTACCGAGCTTCATCCCTCTGATCTTTGTGGATAAAGTTATGTCAACAGCTGCACTAATCACCTTATGCAGATATGGTGGTTCTCAAGTGAGAAGAAGAGCATTGCTGACTTCAAGGCTGCTTCAGGACGACAAGCGTGTGGTATTTATCTACCACAGTTCCACCAGTGATCGCAGGGCTTCACGTTTTGACGTAGAAGGTGGTGGTCGTCAAACAACCTGGGATTCTTTTGGCATCTGGGACAACCGCATTGATGAGCCAATTCTACTTCCACCAAGCATAAAATATGGCAAACCGATTCCAAACGTTAGCTTGAGTAACGTTGGATGCACTACTCAGATTGGTCAGCGGAAAGAGAATGAGGACCGTTTCAGAGTTGGAGTGCTGACTGAGAACGTCCTGTATTTTGCAGTGTATGATGGACATGGTGGACCAGCAGCAGCAGATTTTTGTGATAAGCACATGGCAAAGTACATTGTGTACGTACCTCTCAAATCACCAATTTTTAGCTTATAGATGATTGGATTAGAGTTGTCTTGAGATAACACTCTAAAGGTATGAAAGTTAATAAGATAGTTTTTACTTGCCTATGTGTTAGGTATATTTTAAAATTGTGTGCCCTGTAATAGTTAACTACCTACTTTTTATATATTAAATCAGCCACAGCGAAATTTCCATTTGTAGGTGTCATATATATATATATATGGCGAACTCCCAGTGTGGTTTGGTGTTCTTAAGCATGGCGATAGATTTTCACATGTGTCAGACAGCAACTGACCAAAAAAAACCTTCTTCATAGGCTAGGCACCATGGTCTACTGCACTTTCATGATTCCAATCCTTCCTGTCTCAACGTGATCACTACAGCTTCTTCAATAACTAGTTATCTCATGCTAACACAGTCACCTCCAAGGGCTCCATCCTTAGTCCTCTCCTATTCCTCATCTCCCTTCTCTGAGACACTCACATGGAAGGTCCTAAAAGTGCAAGGTATTGTATCCTTCTCCATAAATCACCAATTTTTAGCTTATAGTTGATTGGATTAGTTGTCTTGAGATAACACTCTAAGGGTATGAAAGTTAATAAGATCGTTTTTACTTGCCTATGTGTTAGGTGTATTTTAAAATTGTGTGCCCTGTACTAGTTAACTACCTACTTTTTATATATTAAATCAGCCATTGAAAGGTTGTGTGGAAATCAGGTATTTTTATCGAAAAAACAAATTGATACAAAAGGGGCAAGCAAACTTCTTTAGAAATTGAGATGTGAGAATTGCACTTTGGATAAAATAGTGAGGTCCAGATTAGCTTCTGAACAATGAAGATAGCCATTAAAAGCAATAGTTAACAACTTTACATTTGTGAGAGGCATGAAAAATACAGGTATGAAGAACTCAGCTTACCATTGTCCCATTCAAAGGTCAAGGTGGATCGAAAAGATCTTCTGATGCAACCTTTGTACTTGGAAGGAATCAAGTTGTGTTTACTTTTGACATGTGAGAAGTAATATCAACACAACAACTTGGATTTATATAGCACCCTCCACGCCGGACGGTGTCTCAGAGCGCTTTACAATAACAGATCCCGGGACCGAGCCAGGGGGAGGGGGAGGAAGGTGACCAAAGACACGGTCGAAAAGAAAGGTCTTCAGCAGAGACCTGAAAATGGGAAGGGAGAGAGCGAGATGAAGAGTGAGGAAGGCAGTTCCAGAGCCTCGGAGCATAGTGGCTGAAGGCACGGCCGCCGAGGGTGGAGCGGAGGACTCGGGGGACGAGGAGGAGGCCAGACCCGGAGGAACGAAGGCAATATCAATATGAATGTAAACGCATATTAATTGGTTGAAGAGCGGGTTGTTAAAGTGGAGAAGGAATTAAGTGAGAGAATACACAGGCTTGGGGAATCCCTGAGTTGATGTAAACTCAAGAGCATGACCCATCAACGAGAGAACAAATTTTTAGGTATATCCTGATTCTGCCGATCTTTTTGGAACCAAATTAAATTGACTCTTGACATATTAAACTGTCATTGTGACTTCTAATAGTAGACAAATTTGTTTTAATAACAAATTAATTATGACTTGAATGTCTCTCTATTTTTCATGCTCTATGTAATTCTGCTTTTAGAATCAAGATGATTATTGCTACATTGTGCTGGTAGCTGGATGAAATCGTAAATCTGTGGATTTTTCAGTAAAACTATGATTCATGTTGTCTAAAGAAAGCAAAATTTCAGACTACCATTTTATAACTAGAAGTAATGTTTATTATTTCCTATTTAGACAATGTCTCTCACAAGAGGAGAATCTGGAAAAGGTGCTGACCAAAGCTTTTTGTGAGATAGACAAGGAATTTGCAAGACATGTCCACTTATCTGCAAATGGTAGGTACATTTATTACGTTCATCCATAATAAGGAAAAATATGAATCAATATTTACTAACCCTGTTGACAATCTGTATTAAAGTGATGCATGGAATATTTATTTCAAATGTAATAGTGAAAATAACAGTTCATACATTAGTTTTGCTGGAAGAAAATGCACTAGAGGCTATTTTAAAAAAAAGGTTTACTAGAATGACTTGTGATACCTGAAGGCCAAGGTCAATGTTTCCCAGTTTCATAATTCATTCGCAATATTTCAACTATGAGAATTTATATTCTGCTCTTGTACTGTTGAGAGCTTGATACATTCTTCTGAAAAAATAGCCTTATTGCTTCACACGTATGTTGTATTACGTCTGTACTGTCAAAAACAAATAGCAAGTTGGTATATTTAAAGTAGAATTAGAGAAATCCACGAACCCACAGCATATTTGTAATGCTGCAGCAGTGTTCAGGAAATGCTTGTACCATAATTCCCAACATAAAAGTGATAGCTGTAAAATAAAACCTACATGGATGACATTTTGTTCTGTAACTTCTTTCCTCAATACATGCACTTCCCCTAAGAGTAAGCACATAGAGTTAATTGTCAGAACTGTTCTTATGGCACTTTTTTGAAAACATTTTTTCATGCTAGTAGATTTTTTTTATGATATCTACTGTGAACCATTGATTCACTAGACAGTAAATCTGTTTTTACAGGTATTAATGACATTGTCAGTGGATGGATTCTCCTGTCCAAGTAGTTTTTGTAGTTCATTTCTTTCTTCCAGTGCTACGTTTAACCTTTTGAATGCCAGATTATCCAGGGAAGTCCCTGCTTGCTGACTGGCATGGAAACTTCAGCCTGTGTTCTGTAATGATGAAACAATTACTATTATAATCATTGAAATATCAATAGTACTATTGATAATAATACTGACCCCAATTGTCAACCTTAAAATACAATTTTAATTAAGTATTGAAATTTTTAACTTTTCTCTCTCAGCTTTTCGCCCCTTTTTCTTCAGTCCTAATTTCTTCTTATCCTATTTTTTGCTACTTTAAATCTATTTTATAACTTGAAAATGTTTTCCTTAACTTTCTTCCTTCTGTCTCCCACCATCCATTTTGGGGATTCCAAGCAACCTTTTCTTTGCCTGGAAATCCATTTAAGGGGCATTTTACACTTGTTTTTCAAGTTATTGAAACCCATGAACATAAAGCTGGGCTTGATGGCATCGTAGTTGCAACCTGATCAATTTCTGATAGTTTCAGCCATCAAACGTGGAATGTGTTCCTATCCAAGCTCACTTTATTTGTTGGTCTCTGGAGACTTACAGCATTCATATAACAAAACTTTTTAATTCCCACACACATTGTTAGGAACAGGTTCAGTTATAATGCCCCGCAAATCAAAATCCCACTGACATTCGCCGTGTTGTGGCTTGCTTGTGAAGGTTGGGCAATTGGTGAGATGGCTATTATCCAGCACTGACATCTGTCCCCTGTTAAAATGGATTTGTGTCACCTTGTTCAATCATCTTGTGCCTAAAAAAAAATATGCCTTTCCAATAACAATTTTTATATTTATTAATTGGCAGTAGCTTCAGATACAGATTGTTTTTAATCGCTTTGACTTCTTAAATATTTTTTATAAAATTTGCCCATTCATCAATCCACTCAAATCAAAGACATCGCTAAAGTATTTATAGCCTGTACTTTTCAGAAGAGATATCATCCATTCTGTAACCACTGCTGTTTCTTTACGTTGTGTATGTGTCCTAAATTGTATGATTGTAGCTTAAGTACAGTCCTATTTTTAAAAAAAACCTCTTATTTCCTTTCCTCTAATGATCGAGTTATTTTGTATTATACTTAACATTTGCAAAAATGAAGAGGCCGGTAGGACTGTGCAGTGAGTACACTGATGAGGAATTAAACTTCTCCAAGATTGTGCATTATGTTTATTCGGAGGGAAGAAAAATGGTATTTATTTTTCCATTTTTTTAAATGGAAAAGGTCACCAAACTGACAGTTCCAATGACTTGTCATTTCAGAATTTTGATGCCTCTCTCCCACAGTGTGGAAGAACAGCAAACTCCGTTAATGCACATAATTTGTCACAATTTCAAAATTGCCACTTGACGCAAAAAAAATCATACTTGTTATTTTATTTCTCCTCCTGCTTTGAAAGACTTTGTGCAATGTTTCCCTCATGATTCTTATACAGTATCTTCTAGTTTTTTTGTAACCAAACACTTCAAAGCAATCATTTAGAAAAAATCTCTCCATACATTTTTAAACTATGTAGATGCATTCATGAAATTTTGATTTGAGTTTATTCTATACATATTTATATATTTTTTTCTTTTGCCTCTATTTTTTCTGCCTTTAAGCTTCTTTTATTGCTTTCTTTTTTCTGAAGTCTGCTTTAGTACTGTACTCTTAACCATTCCTTTTGAAAATCAATCCCTATTAATTTGGGTCTTGATATAATGGTCTGTGATTTTAGCAAAGGTTTTAAGAGATAAAAATTAGCTAAAGAATACTTTTCTGTTTTCCGAAAAAAATGAAGGCACTTTTGTTTAAATTGCGCAGTCACAGGAGAGCAGTTCATATGTTTGAGACGTCTCAAAGACTGATAAGGCACCATATCAAATGCAAGGATTATTATTATTATATGACACTTAGATTTCTGAAACCACCCTTTGCATAAGGGTGAATGAGGCCACGAGTATGAGAATCCAGCAACATCATGGAGTAATTATGTGCCTTTGATCTCTCTTTTCCTGCCCTCTGTAGTTTTCCTGATTTTTTTTAGCGCTCCCAGTGATACTGAAAGAGGCCAGGGAGCAGCTCAGATTTTCCACCCTCTTGTATGTTGTGTAATGAGGCCCAACTAGGGCAAGAGGAAGAAAATATAATGTCTCAATGTTTGTTTGATCCTTGTTTGCACTAACTAACTAATCTCAACTGATGTAGGAATGCTGACGCTGTACTGAATGTGACTTCTATGGGAGGTGAAAAAACAGGATTTCTACTCCTGAATGACTTCCAATGATTTTTGATGAACAATCCCTATGTGGTCATTAGACATTAACCTTACTTAATAGGTTACTGACTCTCACTGTAAAAGCTTACAAATGCATAATAGATACTTAGTACCAAAGGTCTATTAGTATGTGAGTGGTAGAAGATATATTTGAAAACAAGAATTTAGTGGAGATTCCATCCATTGGCAGTGTTTAATAAATGCTGATGTACAGTAATCCTATATCATACACTTATCTTAATATCTTTCCAGCTTTGTCTTATCACATTTTTGATTTTTTTTAATGTTTTAAATTCTATGTTCTTTAATTATTAGCGGAGTCCTTTACAATTTTAGACCAAGGTACCCAATACTTGTATTTTAGCAATTTTGTCAATCACATGAGTGCTACAGTCATTGTAATTAATGATTAAATTGTACTGGTCTCAGGTTATCTCAACTAATAGGAGATAATTTAAAAATGCCTGTAAAAGGCAATTGAAGGCCTGCAGTAGAATAGACCACTTTAACAGATAATTTTAACTATTCAAAGTCAGATGTTACCTTTTTAAAATGTTTGCATTCTTTTAGAGTTGTTTTCCTCATAGTAAATTTGCACTAGCATCGAATTGTAGCACCACTCCCACATTCACCACCTAGTCCAGTATGTTATGATTATCCAGTGAATCGTTTAAAACAATATCCATTTGAATACTATTCCAGGGGGTTATTATGACCAGAAATTACGACATTCATTATGTAATTTAAAGTTTTATCTAAAATAACTGAAATATAATTCATACATGTACATGTAAAACAAATGTTAGCTGGTATATGCATGTAGTGATTTGTAACTTTTTGATCAGTTACGTAGTTTAAAGGCACAGATCTGCTATAAACAGAACGTTCAAGCTCGCAGCACGATTCGTCTTTAACAGTCATAAACTGGTGTGAGGGGAACACTTATTGTACTGATACAAAAAAGCTTCATGCTGAATGATGATGATTGTAGAGCCTAAAATGCTTTAAAATAATTGAATGGCGCATAAAGGCTTGTGAGGGGTCTTAAACGATCTTGTCCATCATCAATATTCTTATTACATATTGGGGTAAAATTTGTGGTATTCTTTAAAATAACACTGTCTTAATTATTCCCACAATTAATGGTGTTTAGTTTGTTAGAGCATTTCTGGTTTCACACTAAACCTGCTAAAAACACCGAAAAGCCACTTGGGTGGTGGTTTCTTTCCCCTTCCCAGCTCTGATTTTCAAATTGATGTGACACCATATTGAATTTTCAGTCTTGAGGCGTTTGGGTTTTCGGCCTCAGAGAGTGAAGTAGTTTTTTATTTGGTTATTACTTGGGCTGGAACTTCAGGAATACTGCAAATTTTGCCCCATGTTTTTAACCCAGTATGTAATATTTTTGTGTGAACTAATGCTTTGTACGGTAGATTTATCATTGCAAACTTGTAACAGGCTATTCCAGACTGGGTGACTTCAGACTTTACAGCTTAAAGTAACACTTTCACCTTATTTCTTTTGTGAAATACGCCAGATTGATAGTGAAAATAAAACATTTAACATACTTGCAATTTCTTTTCATATTGATTCCCTTGATTTTTTTAAACTTTTTTTAAAAAGTTGAATATTTTACTAAACGACAACTGAGTTTTTAACTTGCACCATATGTCAGGCAAGTGTTACCTTGTTGGTCTGTTCAGAAAGCTTTTAATTTTTTTATTTCTGTCTACAAATAAAAATTTACTATTGCTGTTGTCCTATGCAAGACTCCCCCCATCCGTCCTCCTTTAGACCTAGTTGAATCTGCATTGTTCCCACTCCAAAATCTTTGTGTAAACTGTTTTGTCCCTGACATTTACAAGACATCAGTCCATGTTCTCTTCCATCACTTTGTCACACTAATGTGAATCCAGTCCAAATTTAGCATGAAGGTCAATGTGATTGTCTTGGCCATTAGCATGTCCTCATCTAAATGAGGAAACCTATTTCCACACCAGATAACAAATTGAGTGTTGCCCAGAACTTCTTTGTGAAAATGCCTTAGCTGATTCGTGTTCCACTTGTTGACAATTAGAGAAAGCATTGATTTGCTCCCGTGCACATAAAATCTCCTCTCAACTTTCCTGAAGTTTGCATTATCTTATCACCCACACTTTTATACCCTTTGGTGTTGTCCAAAGGATCTTGCTTATCATTTACGTATAAATACTCTGAAGAATTTTGCCAACATTTAATTTCAGTGGTAATGAAGCTTAGAACTATTGACTGAGAGTAACTCTGATTAAGTGTCCAATGACAATAAAATACAGAAGCAAATTTCGACAGTTACTGAAGCTTTTCTAATTTTTTTTTGAGAGCTAAACTAGCTATTTGGGAAATGAAAAAATGTTGTTAGTTTTTTTTGCATATGATTGTTGGACACTTTGGGGATGGGGAGTGATCACTAGTACACATTAAATATTTTTGCTAGTTTATATTGATTTATATACTTTCACAGCAGTTACTCAACCCTTGAACTATGATTCACTTGCCATGTAATATTCACAATTTGATTTAATGACCGAAAATGAATGAAATGTGTAACAATGTACAATCTACACTTTTTCTCTAAAATTAATTTTAAAGCTGTCAATTTAATCAAATATTTTATTGTGGTCTTTCAAAAAAAATCAGTTATGATTAATATCGGAGCAAATAGTTGTACTTTATCATTCCAAATTAACTAGAGTCCAGAGTCCCTTTAATGTTTGTTTGGAGACATTTCAGTAAATATACATAATGCTGAAACACACTGATTTAGGTTTCTCATTTAGCCTGTAAAACATTTCCTAAGCTTTCCTTCCTTGGGGAGTGACCTCATAGCTAATGGAATTGATATTTATTGATAAGATATTTGGTTTAATATTCCCAAGGTTTTGGAATAGCCTGTATCTGTAAAAGCTAGTGGATAAATCTGCACTACAATCAAGCTTTGGTATAGTATCTTTTGGTTTATACTGTTTTTTTTGTTCATTTTGTATATTAGACTACAAAATAATGGTGGTAAATATTCTCCGAATAAAACAATAATTCAAATATTCAGCTAGTACAGATTGGAAAATCATCAAATAGTATGAAGATGTTTGGCATTTTCTAATATTGCTTTTGGTTCTACCATAATTAATGTTGCCCTGTAACACTGGTTAATATTTAAGAGCTGCGGACTACCTTCTATATGGTCTCTTTTTGTTATGATGGGGAGGAATCAAAATTTGACCCATGAAAAGATATAGATTATTTTGACAAATGTTAATTTTGTAAGACATACAGTTTAGTTGTATAAGTGAATACAATATTTTGGGTGGGTGAATTTTGTGCATATAAATCTAGCAGCCATTTTACATGCAGCTCCAGTTATAATATTTCCAGTGTTGCAGGTACTGTATGGACGTCCCTGCGTAAATTTCCTATTTGCCTCTGTGTACATGTTATCTGTAGCAGAGTCTGTACCTGGTCTGTTGCGCAGCACCAGCAGCTCTAGAACTGGAGGCCCTGGACACTTTGTTGGGCTTCAGTGGAAGGAGAACTGCTCCCCTTTTCTCCCAGTTGAAGGAGTCCAGCGGTTCCTAGCCTGGACTACTGGAGGGCCCCCTACAACCTCTTTGTCCCATTAGTAGAGGTGACATTCAATAAAATCGGCTTCAGTGAGTGTTCAGTCCTGTTGAAGACATTAGTAATGTAGTGATGTTAACATATTAGGCAAAATGTTGTTAAATGCCACATATGTTTTTAAAACCAAGCGTAAAGTATCTTAGTATTTATGTTTTTATCTGTGTGACTAGTTTGACATTGAAATCATTTGTCAGTCCTAGTGGCTAGAAAATATTGTAGCATTTGGTCATAATCTCCAAAGATTACGCATTTTAAAAACAAGTAAAATGACCACTTTTAGCATTTTAAAAAAATAAACAGTGAATACTGTTAAGCAGGTATTTTTATTTCTAAACAACAGTTATATTTGTTACACCAAATCTTCAGAAGACTGATTTTTTTTAGAGGAAATTCATTCTAAATATTCAACACTTTTTTGCTGGTATGGCAGAAAGTTTACAGCTGTTAGACAGCAAACCATAAACATACTGTATATTCTTTCTGCATTCTGTCTGTAATGTGTTCTTCATGAGTGTGGGAAAGGTGCAGCATATATAGAATGGGGTTCAATATCTCGCTTTTTTCACCACTCAAGCTCAATATAAACATTGTTCAAAATCATTTTTTTTTAAAATTGCCACCTTGTAGGAGCTTATCCTAGTTCAGGGCTTTTTTCTAGCTTGTAGAGATGTGCCATATCAGGTCTGCGCTCCCTTCGGGAAGCTGCTCTGCTGAATTTCACTGCAGAAAATAATTCTATGTTATTTGGTGGAAAGGTATACTTTCTGGCTGTTGCATTGGGTGGACACCATTCAAGCCGCTCCCCCACCAAAAAAATAGTATCAGCCAAGCATCTAGCAATGCTCAGTAAGTATTGAGTTTACAGTAGGTATCTCTTGATTTAAATTTTAAAAATGGGAAGAATGTGGATGTGCACGACTCCTTATAGTTCAAATGCTCTCACACTTAAGTGGAGCAGCTTCCTTGTGAGAGACTCAGAATGGTTAACAACTTGGGACTATCTCCTTTAATGTAGGCTTTGTGTTGGGGGTGTAATTTCATTCTCTATTTAAAATGCTGTGATATAGTTCACAAAATATTTTTAAACCTATCTGAAAGGAATGATTCCCATTGTTTCCTGAAATGCCTAATTTAAAAATACCTGCTTTATAGTATATGTAGTTTTTAGTTGAACAATTATTTTGTTCCTTCTTAAAATTTTTAACTTTGTGAATAACCTATTAGTAGTTACTTCTATATAATTATTGCAACAGGGCCTGATTCTAACTAGAGACACTTGCCACAAATATTGTTTTTCTCAACCAGCTCATTTTTTTCTAAGCACTTGGGCTTGTTGCCTTTTGTAACGCTAGCTAAGCATTAAACCCTGTTAATGAAGTATACCCCCACTATCTTACAAAGTTGTTTAATACCTGCATGCTGTATCAGATATATAATATTGCTCATTATTTATTTTCAATAGATTCGCTTGTAATTTACCTAAAATACTAGTAATGCCTTTAAAGCTTGTTAATATGCTGCATTTTCTCAGAGTGTGATTTCAGTTCTGTTCTAATGATTATAGTTTCCATCCTGACATCGGGAACGACTGCCACTGTGGCTCTGTTACGTGATGGCATTGAACTTGTTGTGGCAAGTGTAGGTGACAGCCGGGCTATTCTTTGTCGAAAAGGAAAGCCTGAGCGATTGACTGAAGACCACACTCCAGAAAGAAAAGATGAAAGGGAGAGGTAATATTATGAAAAAGTAGCACAAATAGTCCTATGGGAGTTATGATAAATATCTAAAGCTAGTAATTTTCTATAAGTTGAAATCTGATATACAACCACAGATTAATTTGTATTTATATACATTTTGTATTTCTTAGAAACAACTATAATTATCTTTGATTACAATTTCCATGTAATGACCAACCTTTATTTTGTTTTATAGAATTAAGAAATGTGGCGGTTTTGTTGCCTGGAACAGTCTAGGTCAACCACATGTAAATGGGAGATTGGCTATGACCCGCAGTATAGGCGATCTGGCCTTAAAGTCTGTGGGAGTCATTGCTGAGCCAGAGACTAAACGGATTAAGGTAGGCCTGCATACTGTACACCAGTATCACCTTGCATAACTGAGTACTCTATACCTTATCTGCAAAAATGATAATTGAAGACAAATTGCAAATCATCTGAAAACAGCAACAACAAAGAGCTATTGCCTCTTTTTTAACTGGATGTTTAAAACATAATATTGAATTTTTGAACCTCATACAAATATTTCAATTAAATTTGTTTTTAAATGCTGTAATTAGTGATTTCATCCAAGCATATTCAACAACAACATGCATTTACATAGCGCCCTTGTTAGCATGTATAAATCTATAGTCAGTGTATTAACATGTATTCAGGGCGATGTACACATCAATAGCAACTTGCATTTATATAGCGCCTTTCACGTGGGGTAGAATCCTGGAGCATTTCACAGTGGCGGAGTCTTGACAATGAGCTGGGGGGAGAGGTAGGGGAGAGGTGACCATAAGCACATTCAAAAAGAAAGGTGTTTAGATGGGATTTGAAGGTGGGGAGGGAGGGGATAAGACAAAGTGATTGAGGGAGAGAGATTTCCAGAGTGTCGAGGGGTATTGGCTGAAGGCACATCTACCAATGGTGGAACGGAGGGCACAAGGGGCAATCAGGAGGCTGGAGCCAGCCGAGCGGAGGCAGCAGGTGGTGGAGTGGGGGGTAAGCAGCTCGGATAGATAGGGAGGTGCGAGGGCATGAAGTGATTTGAAAACGATTGAGAGAATCTTAGAATTGATCTGTTCTGTAATTGGGAGCCAGTGAAGCCTGGCAAGGACTGGTATGATGGGGGTACGGAGCTTTGTGCGGGTGGGTATCCATGCAGTGGAGTTCTGACTTCTTTGGATTTTGTGTATGGTGGAGCTAGGGTGACCAGCGAGGAGGGCATTCAAATAGTCCAGCTGGGAAGTGACGAAGGTGTGGACGAGGGTTTCAGCTGCGTCAATTGTACATAAGAACATAAGAAATGCTAGACGAATAAAGACCACTGTCCATCTAGTTCGCCTTCCACCTTCCTGGTGGTCGCATGCACATATGTCCCAAACTACCTATGTACTATATCCCATAATGTTATTTCCTAAAAGAAAACTATCTAATCTGTGTTTGAAAGGATCAACACTTCCTGCTTCAATCATCTCCCGAGGGAGCATGCTCCACAGGATTTTGGGAAGTACGGGCGGAGGTGGGCAATGTGACAGGGGTGGAAAAAAGCAATTCTGGTCAGAGAACGGATGTGTGGTAGAGATGAAAGCTGGGGATTGAACCTGATGCCCAAGCTGCGCACAGGAAGGGTCTGAGACAGAGCCTGGGGAGGTTGAGTGAGTTCAGACCCGCAGGACAGAAGACATTGAAGGGAGCCAAAGAGTCTGGCTTCCATCTTGTTGACATATTCAAATGAGGTTGTTCTAGGATAACCTGCCCCTCTTTAGTCTTATTTCTGAAGCAAGCAATCTAGAAATGCAGGATTACTCACTGTTTTAAGGTCAATTTAGTAACTTAAAACAGCCAGACCGACTTTACAGTGTACTGTGAAGTGCTTTGAGACGTCTCGACAGTGTGTTAAAGTGCTATATCAAATCTAAGGATTATCATTATTATTATTGAAAGTGGCCCAAAGCTTTATTTTTAAAAATAAAAATTGTTTGATTTTGTGTATGTTTTCTTTTCTGTAATACTTTTTTTATATAAACTTTGCATGCCCGGTGACCCTTGATTTCTACCTTTTGTAGGTACAGCATGGAGATGATGCTTTCCTGGTTTTGACGACGGATGGGATTAACTTTATTATGAACAGTCAAGAGATTTGCGACCACATCAGTCAGTGTCATGATCCAATAGAGGCTGCTCAGCTTATTACTGAACAGGTGAAACAAGATTTAGTTATTTAATTGTCGGATTGCTTGCTTCAGGGCACCCCGCCACCCACCCATTGACATAATTTCCTGTGTACTAAGCACAAGCGTTGCTAACATCACTTCAAAACGCCCATTAAAGGTATGCACATGAGCTTGTATATTAGCCAATATCATCATAGTCATCAAATGATACATGTTTTTACAATTTATATGAATTCCATTTTCTCACCATCTCTTCCCCACCCTGAACACGTTCTCACTGAACTCAATATGCAGTAGGCGGGAAATAAACTTCATACCCAGCAGCCCTTTGCCATACGTTCTAAAATTTGATAGATTCGTTCCTTCTTGCTTACATTATAAAATGACAGTCCTGTCAAGTTCTTTGAGATGTCCTCCCAATGTGAAGTGCGCTGTACCAAATACAAGGGTTATTGTCTTTATACTTCCAAGAGTTTATCTAATTTTTTTTAAATACTGTAATTGATTTGGCTTCAAGAGCCATTTGTGGTAACACAGCTACATCCTTTATAAATAAAAAATTGTCCAACCTATACTTTTATGCTTCTGATAATTTTTGGGCGTTAATTTACCCACCAAAAGAAATAAAGTAAACTTCTGATAACTCAAACCTGGCTTTATTTGTCACTACCACTTAAGTCATCTAAATATCCCGCCTGCATTCACTTACGTATTTTTACATATGCCAACTAACTACTCTCGATAACCTGTCATTGAAGCCTTTTCCATTTGAGTGATAAGTTATTAGGAGTTTACTGTAATAACCCTTTCTTAATTTTGAACACTTCAGTTAGACCCTCTCAACATTCTCTACCTAATCAATATCCAACTCAAGCCTGTAATATCGAGCCTTGGCATTATCTGTGTGAATTTGGCCGGCATTCTCCCAAACCACCTGATGACCACCTGATATTGAGGTGCCCAAACTGCAGTGTTTGTTTTGTACGAATAGTCACATCCTGTTCTCCTTTCCCTCTGTCTTCTCCATTTTAAACTGATTTACATAAGTTAATTGGTAACATTTTTGAATTAACATAACTTCCTAAAAATTCAGGGTACCCTGTTCCAACAGAAGGAGGAAGCAATAATATCTAGCATCGACCATTGTTCAAATTGTTGCTTTGGGAGAGGAGTTATTTTTGTTGCTATTTGTACAATACCTGCAACATTTCTCTGTTCGGAACTGCTCATTGCCTTGCTTCCAGAGAATGCAGAGTCAATGCTGCCCAACTGTTTGTACAACTAGCCAATGAAGTTCTGCAGCAGTCTGTAATAACTAAAAAATCTGGGAGAGGTTTGCTACTTTGATTCGGCCTTTTTATATGTAAGATGTCTAATGAAGGCAGATGTAAAGCTTTAATTTCTAAAGTGCGCATTGATAATGTATTAACAATCTAAACATATCAGTTAAATAATCATAAAAAGTAAACCCATGCATTTCATAGTGCGGCTGTACAACAACAACAAAATTACATTTGTATTGCGCCTTTCATGTTGGGAGGACGTCCCAAGGCGCTGGACAAACAGAGTTACGGACCCGAGCTGGGGGTCGGGGTGGGGGAGGGTGGAGGGCAGGTGGGAAAGGATGGTTGAAAAACAGGGTCTTGAGGTGGGTCTTGAAGTTGGCGAGGGAGGGGGCGAGATGGAGGGACTGCGGGATGGGGTTCCTGAGGGTGGGTGCAGAGTGGCAGAAGGCGCGCCATCCGATAGTGGGGCAAGCAAAGCGGGGGACGTGAAGCTGGTCAGAGCCCGCTGAGCGGAGGGAGCGAACAGGGTGGTAGGGGATTAGGAGGTCAGAGAGGTAAGGGATAGCAAGACCGTGGAGGGCTTTGAAGGTGAGGACCAGGATCTTGAACTGTATCCTCTGTGTGATAGGAAGCCAGTGGAGTCGGGTGAGGATGGGGGTGATAGGGTCACGGAGCCCGGTGCGGGAGAGGACCCGGCTGCAGAGTTCTGAATGATCTGCAGCCTGTGGAGGGAGGAGTTGGGGAGGCCGACAAGCAGTGAGTTTGCATAGTCAAGCCTCGATGTAATGAAGGCGTGTGTAAGGGTTTCGTTGGCCTGTGGTGTGAGACAGTGTCAGAGCCGGGCGACGTTGCGGAGGTGGGGGAAGGCAGAGCGGTTCATGGCACAGATGTGGGATAGAAAGGATAGTTGAGAGTCAAACAAGATGCCAAGTTTCCGGACTGGCTTAGTAAGGTGGAGTGTGCAACCGTGGATGGTGATGCTGTCAGTGCCTGAGGTGAGGAGGCGCTGATGGGAGCCAATCAGGAGGGCCTCGATCTTGTTGGCGTTCAACTGAAGAAAGTTCGCTCTCATCCAGGATTTGATGTCTGACAGACATTCTGTCAGGACAGCAGTGGTCCTGGAGTCGAGGGTGGAGGCAGAGAGGTAGAGTTGGGTGTCATCCGCATACATATGAAAGTTGACCCCATGTCTGCGGATGATGTCACCAAGAGGGAGCATATAGATATTCAAGAGGAGGGGACAAGGACAGAGCCACATGAGTCGGTCCGGGGCTAGAGGAGAAGCCGTTTGAGGAGATGAAGTGCAGGGGGTGTGAGGGGTACGACGAACTGAACCAATCCAGGACAGCACCGTGGCGGTTGACGTGAGAGGAGAGGCAGTGGATGAGGATAGAGTGGTCGACGGTGTCGAAAGCAGCAGAGAGGTCAAGTAGGATGAGGAGGCAGTGGGAGCCCTGGTCGCAGGTGGACAGAATGTCATTTGTCACTGACACTGAAACCCAATTGGAGGGGTTTGAGAAGGGAATGGCAGGAGAAAATAGAGCGAAGCTGAGAAGCAATAACTCGTTCCAGGACTTTGGAGAGGAAAGGGAGGTTGGAGGTGGGGCCATAGTTAGGGAGTAAAGAAGGATCCAGGGAGGATTTTTTAAGGATAGGAGTGATGACAGTGGTTTTTAAAGGGGTGGGAATAGTATCAAAGGACAGGGAGAGGTTTACGATGTCAGTGAGTAGAGGGGCAAGGAGGTGGAGCTGGGAGGTGAGGGGTGGGGATGGGGTCGAGAGAGCAAATGGTGGGTTTCCTACGGTTTATGGTGGTGATGAGAGAGGAGGGGGAGACAGGTTCAAAGTTGTGGAGGGAACGATGTGTAGGGGCCGGGGTAGGAGGAGGAGATGGAGAAGGGGTAGCAGATGCAGTGGCAGAGACAGCTGAGGGTATTCCCTCGACTTTGGATTCAAATGTCTCAAAATGCTTCACCAAGTTTCTTTAAATGATAGTCTCTCTGTTTGTAGACAAACCCAGCAGCCAATTTGCACACAGCAAAGTCACAGAAACAGCCACAAGTGAAATAAATTTTATTTGAGGAATTGCTGACCTCACCAGGAAAAACTCCAATCTCTTTTTTTGAACAGTGCACTGGGTTCTTTCATGTTCACCTAAACAGGCAGATGGGGGAACCTTGCATTAATGTTTCATCTGAAGGACGGCACCTCTGACAATAAAGTTAATAGCTTCAAAACAAAGACGACAAAAGAGAATAGGAAGTGCAGAATGTAGGATATTTTAGTAAAGGGGTTAAGTACCAAACATTGGAAGTGGAAAAGGAACTAAAGGTTTTTAAAAAGGAACTAGACAAATTCCTGGAAGTTAAAAGAATTCAGCAATAAAATTCTAAGAAATACATTTTCTGAAGGAGTATTTTGGAAAATTAGAGGAGTAGGTTAGATAGACCAATGAACTCTTTCTGCCTGAAACTGTTACCATGTTGATGGGGCGTTTTTAAGTGTATTTTACCAGTGGGAATGTTTCACTTTAGCGGTGTAACGATACCCTTTGTTTTTGCAGGCCTTGCAGTACGGTACAGAGGACAACACCACTCTTATTGTGGTTCCATTTGGTGCATGGGGGAAACACAAGAATTCTGACATCTGTTTCTCATTCAGCCGAAGCTTTGTCTCAAGTGGAAGATGGGCATAATGTTGTGAATATAAATGGGCAATAGTCTATATGCTAATCACTGGTCAATAGAACACAAAACTGGAAAGCAAAATAGGCTGGTAAAAGATATATTTACAGTAAACAATATTTTCATATGGTGAACATTTGTTCTGTTAGAAGTTGTAATGTGAATTAAAAAGGCAGCTAGCCAGCATTTTTGTTGCTATGTCCTTTTAAGAAAGGATTTAATAACTACCAATACATGGAAGAGGCAAAAGGAATTTTAGATTCACCATACTGCTCACTACCATAGAAGCTAATTGATGTTGCTATGTAATTGCAGTATATTCTGTGAAGCGCTTTACCTAGATAGACAAAATCTCTTAACATTGTAAAAACTCTTAATGTTGCATCAAATATGATTTGAGCTTCAAGTAACAATGATTGTATAGTGTTAGAATTGTTAGCTTGGTACAACAATGCAAAGATACTATGATCAATTCTATTTTTTTTAGTTCTGGCAGTGCTTCTGTTATGTATATGACCCAAATGAGCGTGGATTTGCTTTGAGAGACACGCCTGAAAATGGCTTTCAGGTCTTTCAGGTCATCAGTCCACCACTGCCATCCTTTGTTACCCATTGCATGTTATTTGCAGGAAGTGTCGCTGAGGTTAGTTTCTGCTTGTTGCACCTACATTATTTAAATAACAATAATCCTTGCATTTGATATGGCGCTTTTCATGGCTTCTAGACATCTCAATTCATATGTCGTAATATGAATTTCAATTTATATTACGGTAATCTTCATTACGGATCACATTTGTGCCATTTCAGCTGAAATCTAGGATGTGAAATTCCTTTGAAAATGACTGGGACAAATCACTGCACTTAGTAGTATAACGGCACTGACATGACGTGAATATCCTTTTAGCAAAGATCAGAATTTAGAGGGTGTGGAATTTCTTCCCAAGTTCCTAATATATAATGTAATTAAGAGTGCTGTCTCTGTATCTTTTACCCCAAATGTATTGGACAGTCAACTCCCGTCAAATCTGTCTAATTCTCTTTAAATGAAAAAAGCTATGACAGATTCTCGTTGAACCATCTGTTGGTAGGACATTCCAAATTCTGTCAATCTCCCGAAAAATAATCTTAACTTCTTCCTATTTTGGTGGTGATCTTCAATTTATATTCTTGTTACTTCCTCACAGACAAGTGGATTTATCTTATCAAACCTCATATTTTTCAACACTTGTGTGGAGAGCACAAAACTGCAAACAGTATTGTAACTGAAGCTTAACATATGATTTGTATTGTTTAACCTTGCCTCTTTGTTTATTATTATTATTATTTGTTTTGCATTCTTTTGCTATTACCATTTTGTTTATAACTTTGACTACTAGTCCTTGCCATGTCATCTGATTTCACTCCACTGTGGCCCACCTTACAGAAAATGAAGATCTTTCAAGGAAACATGAAAATTGTTTTAACCCCAGGGGGTTTTTTTTAGTCATAAGAGGGAAAAAATTGGGGATCCTGTAGAGTATTGGTTAGAGCAATCGCCTCTGAAGCAGGAAGTCCTGGCTTTGATCCCCGGCCAGGGTGAAACGTTAAGCAAGTTCCCTTACTCCAAATGTCTCTGTTTACCTAGCAGTAAGTAGGAACCCAGTTGTTAGTTAATTGGCAGATTGCTTTCAGGGGGTAATAATCCCATCAAAAATAAATTACTACCAATAATTTGTTCACTTAATCTACAACTGTTTTTGGGACACTGCTGCTTTCGTTGTGTGTTTTGCTCACAAAATATACAATCAATCCACTTACAGAATTATAAAGCGCTTGAGATCTCTCAACAACATGATAAGGCACTATATCAATTGCAAGGATTATTATGAAATTTGGGAGGAGAGAATTTAACCCAAAATGATAAAATCAGGAATCCTTTTGGAACATTCACTTAACACAATCATTTCGAACCAAACCTGGTTCAATGCTGGTCTTGCAATACCTGTGCGTTCCCAAACCCACCAGCATTACAGTGAAGCTAGTGTTCGGATATCTGCATTGCTAGAATCAGCTTTCACAGCTTGACTGGAACCAGTGCTGCAGCCAGGCAGGTTTCAGGATACAGGTGCACAAGTGCAGATTTAGATTTTAACAATTTAATTCAGCCAAAATATCATTTTATGCTAGTTGTCTTTCATTGGGGAAAAAAGTGAATTAATCAGTGGAAATCTATTAATCGCTCTTAATTATTCATTACATTTGTGTACATTTACTGTAAACGAGCACTAATTTAGCTGTGATTTTGTGTGGGCAGTATGATGCTCCTTTGGTAATACTAGTGGTTTGAACAGTGCTGCTAAACTTTTGTTCCCTAGGAGTGGCAAGAGGGTACATGTAATATTTAATAATAAATGTCAAGTAAACTGTTGTGACTTTCTCAAACAAGTTAATATTGCTCAAATCATAAATTTTGTTAAGTATTCTATCACAATTGAAGCAGTTGATCATGTCCGAAAAAGCATTTTGTGACTTTGCATTGTTGAAAATGTAGCTGATTCATTCCAATGTCTTGCATGCAGATCCTTCCACTAGTGCTTTTATTATACTGTGTATATTACATTGTAAATACTGTATTCCGTATTGTACATTTATTATGATTGATGCTATATATAGATCTGTTACCCTTGTGACAAATGCGTGCTGCATTATGAATTCAACTGGTTTTGTTTGTACAGGTTGTGCAAAAATATATAACGGTTTTAAACTTTTAATGTGACATTTTATAACCTACAAACCTTACTAATGTATTATTGAAGGCAGTGATAGAAGGTTGCTTGCACATATTCCTCTAAAGGACTGTTATGAGTATGTTTGAATTAAACTTAATTTTTTTATGTATTGAGGAGCTGTATGTTAGGTTAGAAAGGACATCAGTGTTTTAGGTCAAAAAGGAATTTTTTCAGTTGTACTGTACAGTCACGGGATTGATCACACAGATATTTTTGGCAAGACAATATGTGTACATACTATATCAAATGTACCTTAATCTGAGTAACATGCAACTGCTAAAAGTACAGTGTCTGGTCAAAACCAGAGACTGCATTAAAAATAAAAACTTAATCTAACACATATTGTTTTGTAACTTATGCCTGTTTGAAACCAGGCTATAAATTGTGTGTTATCTGTTGTTGTAAGCTAAAGTACAGCTGCAGGTGGTACTGGTATTTTGTTCATACATATGTGACTCCAGTGCTGTGCAGATGTAAATTAATAAAACTGGTGAGTTTTTAAGAAGTGATTAACTTTGGAAGGACAATGTGTTCTGAACAATAATGGCATATGATTCTTCAGCATTGTTAGAAAGCAGTGAATCAATCCTTTCTCAATGCTCTGGTCATCTTCTGCACATTTGTGCTGAAAGTGACATTTCACTGTGAATTAATAAATAAATAATTCTAAACCTTTCTTATTGGCATGAAAGAGTAAATTAGATTTTGGGTATTGTTGCGCAAGTCATTAGGTCAAATTGTGCTGTTGCAGAGCAGGAAATGTAGAGTTTAAAAGTTTCAAAATTGAAATGAGTGAAGTGTGAAAGCAGGTGTTTTGAGTGTGTTACATACCGGATAATCATCTGAGGGGGTTCTACAATATTCTAATTCTGGAATTACACTACTGTGAACTTGGTTTCCAATGAACCTACTTGGGGTTCAAATGCAAGCACTCAATATTTGTTTTTTTGCTGTTTGTTTGCTTGTGCTACACAGTCGTTTGAAAGAACTCACCAAATCAATTCCAGTTTATTGCTGCTAGTATGTAACCAGGATGTAACATTACATCAGAAGTCTGAGCCACTAATGCCTTGCAACCTGACCAAAATGCTAGACTTCCTCTTTCAATGTTCTACTTGGATTTTCTGTATGTGGGAAGTGATGCTTGCACGAGATGCTCGTAGTAGGACATTTGCCAAAAAATATTTATTTTAATACTTTGGTTTCTAGATGTTTTAGTTAAGGCATGAATAGTTACAGCATTCACTGCTGATGTACAGTAGCTGTGGTGAAAGCTATAAACTATGTAAACAAACAATAAAAACATTTACATTGAATCTTATTGTCTTTTTTTGGGAAAAGCTTTCTTACATCCCCCTCCCAATTCCTCAACCAAAGAAACCAGAGAAGAGCTAGCTGATAGACAGACGACTGACTCACTTGTATCAAAAGGCTCGGATTATTGACGACAATAACGAATTTACATTTATAGAGCGCTTTTCAAGCCGGGATGACGTCTCAAGGTAATGGTCAGTCGAGAGCTTGCATCTGATCTGGGGGTGGAGGTGAAGGGGAAAAATAATCCTTGGATTTGAAATAGCGCCTTATCACATCTTCGAGACGTCTCAAAGCGCTTCACAGAATATACTGTAAACTGAATTTACTGTATATTTTGTGGGCAAATCGTAGCAGGCAATTGCGCCCAGCAATTGAGCTACAGGACTCCACTACAGGAAGAATGACTTGAAGTACAGTCAAAGAAGAAGGTCTTGAGGCGAGCCTTGAAAGTGATGAGGAAGGGGTGAATCATAGGGACTCCCAACAAGGAGTTCCAGAGTGTGGGACCAGATGGTCTGAAAGGCTGACTGACAATGGTAGACCAGGTAATAATAATAATCTTTCCAATTTATATAGCGCCTTATCATGTTGAGATTTCACAGAATATATTGCAAAGTGGATTTGACTGTATTTTGGGGGCAAAATTGTGCCCAGCAGCCAATTGTGCCCAGCAGTGTCCCACAAACAGTCATAGATTGAGAGTGATCAGTTATTTTATATGCGCTCAGTGGCTTGCAGCCTGTAATTCCCTGATCATTTTCCTGTATCCCTGGGCTGCACTGAATCAATTGGCTGTTTACGCAGCTCGAGAAGGCCAGAATTGTACCAGCTCTGAAATTTGCCGAGCACAGGGAGAGTGTAAAACCCCAGTTTTGATAACCATTCAACAACAGACAGCCCTGATCTCTGGTCTAGAAACTAGAACATTCTATAGTGAAGGATCCTCTTCTCAAAACCCCCGGCATTGTACAGATTCCAAACATGGGCAAGTGGGTAAAGACCACATACAAATTCCTGGCTACACATTTTGAAAAACTATAAACAGAATTCTCTTTTACCCCCACCCAATGCAGATACAATACAAAATTACATTTGTAGAGCGCCTTTCAAGTCGGGGAGGACATCCCAAGGTGCTGGACAGTCAGGGATTGGGACCCAAGCTGGGGGTTTGGGATAAGAGAGGGTGGAGGGTAGGGAAGGTAGGAGGGTGGCTGATTGTGCGGTCAAAGAGAAGGGTTTTGAGACGTGCCTTAAAGGAGTCAAGGTAACAAGTGAGACGAAGGGAATGTGGGATGGATTTCCAAAGGGTGGGAGAGAAGCTGAAGGCACGCAATCACATACCAGAAATTTGTTGAGTTTGAAAATAACGGCGCAATTTTTTTCTCAGTTCCAGCTGTTAGGCTGCCCCAATCTCTGGGGAAGGAACTGAGGCCAGACCAACAATACGAAAACTACATGAGGGTGCCAGAAAAATGGCATTTGCAGCCGCAAGCATTTGTATCAGACCAAACAGCACGAGGTAAATAAATGCAGTATTATTAGTACAATGTCCTGAGGAGTGAGAAGGGATTGATGGACTATTAAACTGTCAGAACTCAATGTAGGGTGTTAGTCATTCCCATGTGTTACACAGTCCTTTAGCTTTGATGTGGTGTAAAAAAAGAAAGCAGTATTGAGCTGTTCGAAATGGTCTTGTCTCCTCTCGGCGCATGGATTGCCAAAGCAGCTGCCACGTTCAACTTGCTTTTCATCAGAACTGGCTCCTGAACGCCCGTTCCCCAATTCTGCATTTTGATTTGACAACTCACGTTCCAGAGAGAGCTTGTGAACACTCAATTCACTGGAGTGTAATGTGCTGGCAGTGGACAGCAAGCGGGGGAAGCTCACACAAAAGGAGGTCTTGCCCTAGCAATCTCCTGCAATGCAACGCCCAACTGATTTCTGAGAAAGTGATGTATGTAGCTTTTCAGTTGCAGCTATCCTAAGGAAAAGTTTATGTTTTCTTCATATGGCTTGGGAGAGTGCTTATGGTTTTATTTTCTTTAGAACTCTGCAGGAAAAGCCTCCATAGATTCCCCTCTTCCTAGTCTTTTTCCCCTCACTGCAACATACCCACCTAATAATAGATTTAAAAGTTAGAAGTCCTGCTTCCAGGGGTTTTGTTTCTCAAAGGGCAATCATTGGTGTCATGATTGCAAGCAACATTGAAAGAAAAAAATTACAGTTTTAAAGTAACTTATATCAAAATATCTTTAAAAAAAAATAATTTCTGTCGAGTTTTGCGAGTGTTTTTGTAGGGAAGCTGGGGCAGCATCAGAACGCTCTCTCAAACAGCCATAAAGGAATAGTTGACCAACCTGAAGGAGTGTTGTACAGGACATAGAGAGAAACTCCTTTCTCTTTTCGAATAGTGTCATGGGATCGTTACTTTGACAGGCAGATGGTACCTCGGAGGGTCCACCCATGTGGGGCTTGAACCCGTAACCTTCAGACTCAAAGGCAAGAGTGCTACTAACTGAGTCAGGCTGAAACACATGATTTTTGCAACTCACAGAATAGGCATGTGTCTATTGTGCTGCTTCATTCGTGAATACAAAGTGAGGCAAATTGATAAAAGTGACACTTCTGCTGAGATTTGTATGAATGAAAGAATAGTTTTGAAATCTGTACGTGTCTGAGCATCTCTCAGTGGCTGACGAAGTGATAAACGAATGTTTGTTTTTATATTGTAAGTATGTAAAATCCTCTAAAATAACACAGGGTAGTCTACATTCAGGAAACTGGAGGTGATACTTTTCATCAGCCAGTCAAGATTGCATTCCCTGGCCTTTTCTCTCCCTCCCTCCCTCCCTCTTCATTAAGGTCCGTCTCCTACATCTTTGAGCATGCGCTTTCATGCCCTTTGGGACATCCTCCTGATGTGAAAGATGCTACATAAATATAAATTTGTACTGTATTGTTTCTGTCTACCTCTTCCACTCAGTGAAGGTCAATGTAAACAATCAGTTTCTTACAGGAAACTGCAGATCAAATGGCACAAAGATGACATTTATTTTTTCTGAAACAAGGTGGCATAGTCTTAAAATTAGAACCAGGTCATTTAAGAGTGAAATCAGGAAGCATTTTTTCACTCAAAAGGTAGTAGAAATCTGATATTCTCTCCCCCA